CCCCACCCCCACCTCTAACCATTCTCTCCTTCCTCTCTCTGTTGTTTTATTGTTGTTGTTGTTGTTAATCCTCATCCTAGGATATTTTTAGAGATAGTGGAAGGGAGAGATGGAGAAGGAGAGGGAGAGGGAGAGAGAAACATTGATGTGAGACACATGGATTGGTTGCCTTCCACATGCACCCTGACCCCAGGGCCAGGACTGAACCTGCAGCCCTTGACCAGGAATTGAACCCACAACGCTCTGGTGCATGGGTCAATGTTCTAACCACTGAGCAACACCAGCCAGGGCTCTCCTTTCTCTCTTTACTCCAATAACTTCTTACTTCTTCAGTCTTTTCTGCTTATCTCTTTGCCTCCTATCATACATTTGGCTCTTTCTAGTGGTTGCTTAGGTATCAAAAATCTCTCTTGCTCTTAGATCCCAGCTTGAGCCATCCCTTGGGTGGTCCAGCATTCTGCAGTGCATTGTCAGAGCTGCTTTTTGCTCTAATTTATTAACCCTTCCTCTCATCACAAAGTCCACTCCACTCCTTTGCTGAGGTTAAAATCTGCCAGTAACTAAGTAACTGTTGGTAACTAAGTCCAAAGACTTTTTTTCTCAATTTTTATCTTCCCCGTGGAGCTCCTGCTCTGAAATTTCCTCCCTACTGTTCTTTAGGCCTTTCTCTTTCTTTTTCTGTATGTCTCAGGGCTTATCTCTTCCAGAGAACTTTCTCTGAGAACTGGAATTCACCCACCTCTTCTGAGTTCAGTTTAACCCATGCATAACTCATCCCTTTCCCTCTGCTTTGCCCTAATCTAAGTTGTTTTACTCTCCTTTGAGTGAACATGAAGTTAAGGAAGGAAAAGTAAAAGCTTGCAGGCATAACATTGAGAGTCTTCTACTCAAAGTTTCAAAATAATCAAACCGTTGAAATAAATTTAAGGATCCCAGGCCATACTGTTCCTGTAACAGGAGACCTAAAGTGAGGTCCACAAATCAGCAGCATCGGTGTCACCTAGGAGCTTGTTAGAAATGCAGAATTGTAGGCTCCACCCCAGACCTACTGAATCAGAATCTGGGTTTTTAACATTATCTCCAGGTGACTGACATGTACATTAAAATATGAGAATCACTAGTCTAGTGGTCCAGTGAATGCCCGCCACTAGAGCCTCCATCAAAAGTGCTTCAAGCACCACTTGGGTACTTCAAACCAATGACGTTTACCTCTAGTCGGGCAGAGTTTGGTGTGAGGGTGATCTGGCTGCCACAGCTAACACCTCCTTGATGAACAGGGTTGATTCCACTGATCTCCTGGCTAGGTAAGTGGCTTCCTTCCCTCACCATTCCAGGTAAGGGTCATTCCTCTAAAGCTGCAAAGGGGTTTGAAGAGGACAATCTTTCCCAAGAGAGGAAGACTATTCTGTAGGCAAGCTTACAGAATCTTTGGTAAAGTGGACACATACTACTGGCAGTTAGAAAACATTTTCTATCATCTTTTCCAACAAAAAATGGGTATGAACAACACAGAACCAAAAGACAACAATTTATACTCTTCTTTCTCTCAGTGAATATCAAGCACGTACCATATGCCAAGCACTATTCTAGGTGATGAGGTTATAGCAGAGAACAAAACAGACAAAATCCTGCCTGAGTGAAGTTTACATTCTAGGGGATGAAGACGGACAACACACAGGTAGGTGATACAGCAGGTAGTGACAGTGCATTACAGAGAAATCAGGTGGTGGCGTCTGCTATTTAAGATGGGTGGTCAGGGAAGGCCTCCACGAGGTGGAGACATTTGGGAATATACCTGAATGAAATGAAATCATCCAGATACTTGGAAGAAGAGAATTCCAAGCAGAGGAAATAGCTAATGCAAGGCCTTGAGGTAGAAGCACATTTGGAGTGTCCAAGGAACAGCAAAAAGGATCATAAGTGTGGCTGGAGCAGACAGATTAAGCAAGGAAAAGAGTGGAACTAAATCATGGAGGGTTTTTAAGGAGCTTGGATTTTATGCCAAGTGTGATGGAGCCATTTCAAGGTATTGGGCCTAGAGGAATGAGGTAATCTGACTGAGAATTTAAAAGGCTCTCTCTGGCCCCGGCCCGTTTGGCTCAATGGTTACAGCGTCGGCCTGCAGGTGGAAGAGTCTCGGGTTTGATTCCCGTCAAGAGCATGTACCTTGGTTGCCATTCAGTCCCCAGCCCTGGTTGGGGTCGTGTGGAGGCAACCAGTCGATGTGCCTCTCTCACATCGATGTTTCTCTCTCGCTCTTCTTCCCACTCTATCTGAAGATAAATGGAAAAATATCCTTGGGTGAGGATTTTAAAAATAAATAAATAAATAAATAAACAAACAAACGCTCTCTCTGGCTGCTCTATGGGGAATAGATTATAAGGGGGCAGGAGTGGAAGTAGGGAGGCCTAATAGGAGGCTGCTGTAGGGATGTTGGTTGCTTTAAATTTGGGTGGTCATGGTGGTGGCGGTGGTGGTGGTGGCGGCGGTGGTGGTCGTGGTGGTGGTGGTGGTGAGAAAAGTCCCAATAATCTCAACGTCCCTAAAGCTAGATGACTGGAGTGAATTTTTTAAATCTTGGATGGGAAACTGACTTAGATGTAGAAAACAAAGAATAGGAATAATAGGGCTTCTTCGGGTTGAACAATGTTAATAGCATCCCCAGGAATCCGTGTTCTTTAACATTTCATAAACAATTTAGAAAAAGAAATACCATGAGACATTTCTAGGTACACAAATTATACACTGCGTTCCACATGTGAAATATCAAGTCAATAGGGAGCTCTTCTGGAACATTTCTAAAGCTATACGAGTAGCCTAGAAAATGACAGGTGTCTTGCCACATAGACAAGTATAAGGCAGCTCACATATGGGGAGACCATGCAGATGATACTTTTAAGATAATGAATTCTGCCCAACTGGTGTGACTCAGTGATTGAGCGTCAACCCATGCACCAAGAGGTCACGGGTTCGATTCCTAGTCAGGGCACACGCCGAGGTTGTGGGCCAAATCCCCAGTGGGGGACATGCAGAAGGTGGTCAATCGATGTTCTCTCTCATCGATGTTTCTATCTCTCTCCCTCTCCCTTCTCTCTCTAAAATCAAAAATAAAATAAAATTTTTTTAAAGACAATGAACTCTGAACTGCCAGCTGCATCCAAGAAAAGGGATGTAGAATTTGCCACAGATTATTCCCTCAAGACATCATCAGCTCTTGTACAGTCCAAAATGCCAGCAAAAGTTCTATCTGTCCAGAATAGACAAAACATCAGCTTCAACAAAACCTCAGGAAACCCCTCCTTGGAGTTCAGTGTGTAGTGCTGGTCACTGCATCTAAGAAAAAGAACAGCTAAAGAAAAGCAGCTAGAGTGATGAAATGGTAAGATTAAAAGGATAAGAGGGGCTTTTTGTTGTTGTTGATAGATTAAATGCCCATAAAAGATGACTATCTGAGACAAGATAAGATGAAAATCTACAAAAGCATGAAAGGTCCAGAAAAAGTAAAATTAGCCCTTTTTATATAATCCCATGATTGTGAAATTAGGGGGGAAATGAAGCTTGAAAATGGGGTAATGTCTATGTAGAAAGAGACCACTGAGGGCATAAAAAAGATGGTCCTTCTTTAGACAGGGTGTCCTTAAGTATTCTCCAGTATATGAAAGAACATGTGGTAGCAGTAAACACCAGTGGAGGACAACAAGCCCACCTCAACAGTCCTTTGTTGAGACAGAAACACTCTGGACTGGTATGTGTTTCCTGCCTACCCCACCAATCACTGTGGCATACAACCACAGAAACTCAAGAAGAGCAAAGAAACACGGTCAAGACATTCAAAGGGTTCAAAATGCTAATATTAAATCTCTTTCTGAGTAAAAACTGGACTGAAAATAAATTCAAGCCCTGGCCGGTTTGGCTCAGCGGTTAGAGTGTAGGCCTGCAGACCAGAGAGTCCCGAGTTGGGTTCCCGCTAAGGGCACGTACCTGGGTTGCAGTTTGTCCCCAGCCCTGTTAGGGTTGTGTGTGTGGCAACCAGTCGATGTGTCTCTCTCACATCGATGTTTCTCTCTCTCTCTCTTTCTCTCTCCCTCCTGCTCTATCTAAAAAAAAATAAAATAAAATGGTAATTTTTTAAAAAGTTAAAAAAAAGAAAAGAAATTCAAGAGTGAAAGATTTATAACAGATTAATAAGAGAAATTAAGTCTGTTTGGGGGTATATCCTTAATCTCTGTGATTCATGCCATGGAGATACTATGTCCTCAAAAGAAACACTTGGTAGTTTGAATAGCACGAACAAAACAAGAACATTTCCTAAATACTGTTTGTCGGCACCTGGTTCTCACAGTCAGAAAGTGACAGTTACTGGTTGAAACAGGGATTAGATCATTCGAATTTCACTCACAGCAACAGTAGTGTTCAATGAACAGAAGAAACACTCTTATGAACCAATCATTTGTTACTCACATGTTGAACAGTTACCAACCCTGGGAAGATCCTTATCGATCTTCCTTCACAGATTTAAAACAAATACAACAACAAAAACCCAGATCCAAAGGAAAAGGAAAGGTGGAAGGTAATAACCAGAGGTGTTAGTGAGTTGGGAGATGTTAAAAATGGGCTACACATGACACCTGGGCCCTTACTTTTGCGTCAAGATCTATGTATATAATATATAAATATATACATACTCTCTCCTTCCAAACAATGTTAGATGTAAGGCCCTCATTCTTCCCAAAGAAAACAGCACCCTTTCCTCCTTCCCATAGGTCCTTTACCTGCTTCCCCTCTCTGGGGTGAGGAACTTTCAGTCCCGCCTCCCTGCGGTCCAAGCACCGCCTTCCCGGTCCACCTGTGTGACCAGCCCCTGACGTTACCGTTTGGCTTCAGCGGCCTGCAGGATTCCGGCTCCTGATTGGTTCGTCCGACTACGGCCTGGCAGCCCACCAATGGCAGCGGCGCTGAATGGGGGGGGTGCCCACATCCAAGATGGCGCTCCCAGGCGCTGGGAGCCGTTGACCGGCGGTGGGGAAGCGGCCTGGGTTGGCCCTCCGATCGCGGGGTCCTGGGGGTATCTCGCGGGGTACCGCCCTGGCCCGCCTAGAAGGCCTTCCCTGGGCCAGAGCAATGGCTGCCGAGAACAGCAAGCAGTTTTGGAAGAGGAGCGCCAAGCTGCCGGGGAGGTAAGCCCAGGACGCTGAGTGGAAGAGGGGATTGGACAAACCCTTCCAGATCCCTAGCCCTAGATCCCGCCGGCCTGGGGCGCCACCGACCCGGGGAGACTATTTGGGGCAACGTTGGCTGGGTGAGCTGGAGCTGCTTGGTGGTGGCAGGACAGCTGTCAGGCAGAGGAGCAGGCAGCGAGCTGTGGCATGGCCGGGTGTGGGAGCAGACCGGGGTCTGGGGGCGGACGGCTCGGGAGGGGCTGCGGTCCGCGGAGGTGGCCGGAGTCCAGGCGTGAGGGAGTTGGGTGAGCAGCCAGCGCCGTGCGGGTTTAGGAGGGCCATTCCCCGAGCTGCTTCTCACTTTAAACAGAACTCCCTCCTGGGGGGTCTCTACCACGCACAGGTGGTTGTTTGCACGAGCCTGGCCCCTTCCCTCGCTCCCCCAGCTCAGCACGTAGGCATCTTTTTCCTGGATTCCCACAAGGTTCTGCTGGGAGCTGGGACCGTCTTCGCGGGGGCGAGGGGAGCAGAAGTGAGGAAAATTCTCGAGCTTGACTGTATTTCATCTTGAGTTGGCCCTTTCCTATTAGGAAATATTGCAGGGTGACCCAAGAATTGAGGTTATTTCTTTAGCGTTTTCTAAGGATTTGTTCAGCCCCAAGTGACTCCTTACCCCCGTGCGTTGTGATGTTCTTTTTATGCAAAAATTTTTTTCATGCATTGATTTTTTTTTTTTATTCTTTAGCTATTTAGTTGGAGAGCATACCTTCTAAGCCACCCTCCACCAACACCACCCTTTTTTGGTGTATGTTGAGACGCTTAGCAATTGTATATCCATCAATCTGTTGTTGGTTTACAGTTTCTATTTGTTTTGGACAGAGCCCTGAGAAGTATAAGGACAAGTGTATGTTTCAATTGTGAATTTAAGATTTCTGCCAGCTATAGTCTACTTGGTGATGACATTCATGTTTGGTTGTACCACACATGCTAGCTTTCCTAAATGATTCTGGAATAATCCTTTGAACTGTGGCCTTTTAAAAAAAAAAAAAAAAAAACAGCAAAAGAGCAGTGAAGGTCAGTGGTAGCTATATATGTAGTCTTCTTTTATCTAGGATCCTATTAGACATATGGAGAATAGAGTGGAAATCAACTTTTAGTAATACAGTATTAAAGTAATGCAAAGGAATGCAGAGATAGCTGTGGAATTACAGTGTTAATATTAATGCTAAAGACTTTCATGTTTTTAGATAAGCACCACTTCCTGCCACCTGATTTCTTTTCCTTCCTGGTCTAGCAAGCTCTCCAGACTCACTAACTGTTGTTCTCTAGGGTTTTCCATAGTGAGACCATTAAATTTTGAACATTCTAAGGTTATAAGCAGAATCAGTGGGAAAACTGTTAAATCAGGAAGCAGTACATGAGATGTGGGATATGGCATGGTATTTTGTAACTATTGACTGCTGGGTTATTAACAATCTTTTGTTTTATATATTTCCTCTTTTGGACTATAGGAACAGTCACCATTTTCCAAGTGCTACTTTTATAAGATAGGAAGGGGTGTGTTAAGTTTCTACAAGTTTCTGGCTTCCTTTTTCATTTTGAAGAGGAATATAGAGAGATAGAGGAGAGACCATTGGAGTTCAGAAAGACTTGGGTTACTATTTGGACTCTTACTTGTGTTATCAAGGACAATGATTTGCTCAATCTCTCTAAGCCTCAGTTTCCTTATCTATAAAATGAGGGTAAAAATACTTTCCTCAGAGTTACTGTGAGGACTAAATTAAGCATCCTATTTGTAAAGAGCCAAGGACAGTGTTTATTTAGCACATTATAGTTTCTCAATAAATACTAGTTATTAGTATTTCTGTTATTATTATAGCAAATTAAACATTTATTTTTTTTTTTATTATTATTTTTTTTAATCCTCATCCGAGGACATTTTTCCACTTTTTGTACAGACAGAGTAGGAGGGAGAGAGAGGAAGAGAGAGAGAGGGAAACATCGATGTGAAAGGGACACATCGAGTGGCTGCCACCCGCACGACCAACCAGGGCCGGGGACAAACTGCAACTGAGGTACGTGCCCTTAGCGGGAACCGAACCCGGGTCTTTACGGACCGCAGGCCGACGCTCTAACCGCTGAGCCAAACCGGCCAGGGCAGCAAATTAAACATTTAAAAGACCATTTCTCAGATCCTTACCCCAGTATTAGGTATTTATGTTCATTGTTTATCTTAAGGCATTAAAATGTTGCCACAATTCATAGTACTTTTTAGCACTTGCTTGTAGAAGGGAAATACTGTTTAGTTGTGTGCTTTTAGCAAGGAAGCCCCAGGAGCCCCTTGTAAGGGAGAAAACTGCTTTTAGAGAGATAAGTGCTTTGATTTATGTTAAATATTAGGGCATTTTCTCAAGAATAGAATTTTTGCATTTGTACTCTCGATTTTTAGTGAAGAAAAACGTTCTCCTGGGTGGTGAAATGACATAGATGACCGTGTTTAGGTCTATTACAACCTAGAAGTAAAACTAGTTTACTCCTCTTTGCAAATTGAAAGTTAAAAATTCAAAGTGATGGCAGGTTACTTTCAGTTTCTTTTATTAAGATCCAGCAACTTTGATGACAACAAATAGGAATTTTACTTAGTAGACTAGCCTAAGTTCATAATGAATTAAACATCCTTTTAAAAAATAACAGCTTTATTGAGATATAATTCACATGCCATAAAAATTCTTGAGTGGTTTTGTATCCATCACCACTAATTTCAGAACTTTTTATTTATATATATTAAATAATTGATTTTGAGAGAGAAGATGGGATAAGGAGAGAAGGATAGAACATCTATGGGAGAGAAACATCAACATCCATTGGCTGCCTCCTGCACTCCCCTGACTGGGGATCGAGCCGGCAACCTCTTGGTGCATGGGACAACACTCAGAACATTTTTACCACCCCAAAAGAAACTCTATATCCACTAGTAGTCACACTCCATACCCCTCCCCAACCCATCCCAATTCCCTGCCCCTGGAAACCACTAATCTTTCTATTTGTATAGATTTACCTATCCTGGACATTTCAGATAAATGGAATAATGTGATATGAGACCTTTTTTTGTTTTCTTTTATTAAGCATGTTTTCAAGATTCATCCATGCTGTACCATGTATCAGTAGTTCATTCCTTTTTATGGCTAAATAACATTCCATTTTATGGATATACCTCATTTTGTTTATCCATTCATCAGTTGATGGATATTTGGATTATTTCCACATTTTGGCTATTATGAATAATGCTATGAAATGCATGTGCAGGTTTTTGTGTGGATATGTATTTCCCATCGTTTTTAAAAAAATATGTTCATTGATTTTTTTAGAGAGTGAGGAAGGGAGACAGAGATAAACATTGATGTGGGAGAGATACATCGAGCTGCTGCCTCCTGCACACCCCCTACTGGAGATCAAGCCTGCAACCCAGGCATATACCCTGACGTGACTCAATCCACTGAGCTATACCAGCTGGGCTCTTTTGAGTATATGGAGGAGTGGAATTGCTGGGTCATATGGTAACTTGATGTAATTAAACATCTGTTTCTATTTTATTTTTTTAAATCCTCACCTGAGGATATGTTTTTATTGATTTGAGAGAGAGAGGAAGGGAGAGGGAGAGAGAGAGAGGAGAGACAAACATCGATCTGTTGCCTCTCTTTTGTGCCCAGACCAGGGATCGAACCCCCAACCTGTGTATGTGCCCTGATGGAGAATTGAACCCACAACCTTTTGATACATGGGATGATGCTCCAATCAACCAGATCACCCGGCCAAAGCGAATTAAACATCTTTTTAAGTTCTCTCAGTTATTCATAAAAGCCCAATGTACTTAATACACCAAATAGTCCTTGTATGGATACTTCGGAAGATAGGAGGCAGTATGTACCATGTGGAAACTTTCAGCTAGTAGAGAAATAAATCCTGAAGATCTAATGCACAGTATAGTGATTATAGTCAACAAAACTTCAAAGATGCTAAGAGACTAGCTCTTAATTTTTCTTACTACAAAAAAGAAATGATAATTATGTGATGTGGTAGAGGTGTTAGCTAACACTTTAATGGTAATCAGCTGTAATATATAAATGAATGAAGCCAACACATTGTACACCTTAAACTTCCATAGTGTTTATGTCAATTATATCTCAAAAAAAAAAAAAAAATGCAGTCTCTGGAACTTGACCACCTGGGTTCAAATCCCAGCTCTGCTACTTTCTAGCTGTGTGACTTTGGGTAAGTTACTTAACCTCCCTCTGCCTTAGTCTCCTCATCTGTAAAATGGGGACAGAGTATCTAAACCTGTTATGAGAGTGTGCATAGAAAGTACATAGGAGATACTCAATAATATTAGCTGTTATGGAAATGATAGTTGCAATCACCTATTTGTATTTGTTTCTCCCCCTTGCTTCAGTTTCTGAAACTGGAATTGAAAAACTTTGATTAGTAGTGTGTCTGGAGCCGCCAGTGAGTCCTGGGTGGAAAAAAAATAACCACCTATTATTAATTAGGCAGAGGGTTTATAGAGACACAAAGAAGCCTAATGTGGGATAGATATGCTGTCAGGTGTTCTTCAGTGATGAGTATGATTTTGAGCCTTGGTTCTCAAACTTTAGTATGTCCCCTGGAGGGCTCATTAAAACCTAGATTGCCAGGCCCTACTTCTGGAAGTTGTAAAGGGGGACCTGAGAAGTTGAGCTTCTAAGAAGTTCCCGAGTGATACTGCTGCTGCTACTCTGGGGGCTGCACTTTGAGAACCACCGAGGAAAGAGTTCTGAATTGATTGGAAAAAAAACAAAGTTTAAGTACTGGAGGCTTTTGCCATATGGATTTTTAACAATTAATGCATCTCATACTTAACAGGGCCAAACAGAACTCTTGGTTTCCACATCTGCTCACTCCTGCAAAACTATTCTTTCCTTGTAGAATGTAATGGACCCAACATTCACCAAGTTCCTCAGACCCAAAATCCTAATGTCTTT